TAAATTTATTAAATCTTCAGACAGCTGGGTAGCCCATTTAGTTTTGTCAGATTGATTTTGTCAAAAAAGTTTTGCTCTGTCTCCTCTACTTCTTCTCCAGACATATAAGGTCAAATTGACAATGACCTGGACCAGACGTCTGTCACCATGGTAACTGGTGCTGTAGCAGACACTGTTGTGTTGGATTACATTATGTAGCAAGTGGTAGGAGGGACTGGCCACCACTAGTAATAGTATATGAATGTGTTTGATTAGTAATATCATTAAAAGAAGAGGAAGAAACAGAGCAAAAACAGTATGATTTCCTTCTGTGAAGGTAAACTAATAATGAATGTTACTGTAAAGTACAAGTCCTGACTGATGAGTTTGTTGGCACAGGCTACTCGTTGTTTGGCGCTGGTCTGACTGTGGGCCTGTGTAACCTGGTCTGTGGGATCTGTGTGGGGATTGTGGGCAGTGGAGCTGCACTAGCTGATGCTCAGAACGGCAGTCTGTTTGTCAAGGTGAGCTCATCTCAGAGTTTCTCTTCTCTTTATTTTGATGCCCTTTATAATTAACTCAAAAGACTAGTCTTCCATGGCTCATACTGAAGTAAAAACACATATACAACAGATAACAATAAAAAACACACATTTAGCACAAATAAAAATTTACATTATGTACAAATGAAAGTTTGACAACTTTAAAGGCCTGATGACAGTGGAAACAATGATCCAGAGGGCAATACATGTTACCATGTACTTACCCTATTGGGCCATTTTTTAATGCATAGAAATTGGTGTTCTAGATTGTCAGTCTGTATATGTATATATGTCCCTTGCCAGTGGTTGGCCAAAAAAGGCTTGGGTCTGCGAGTTTTTGCTAGGGTTGGTGAGAAAACTAGAAACACGTTATTTTCTTAGCCCTAAACAATTCACCTTAACTATTTCTTGTATTGTTGCAGATCCTGATTGTGGAGATCTTTGCCAGTGTGATCGGCCTGTTCGGTGTGATTGTGGGGATCATCCAAACATCTAGAGTCAGCATGGGCAACAAGGCTTAGATACATGGCTGAAAATATACTTTTTAGTATAACCTGCACTAGGTGAATTATTCTATCATGAAAGTTCATCTGTGTTGGTAGTTACATGTTTAAAACTTTTGGTCCAACACAAAAAATTCTCTCACCTAGAGCTTTTGACCAGTCACTCTAGTCTTCCTCAGTAGACTGACCAAAGAAGCCACGTGACAAGCTTCACTGGGTCAGGAAGACCAGAGTGACTGGTCGAAAGCTCTAGGTGAGAGAATTTTTTGTGTTGGACCAAAAGTTTTAACTTTAAACATAGATGAATTATTCATGTTCCTGACCAACTCTACTGGGAAAATATATTACGAACCATGAATCAAACTGAAACTGTTAAGAAATCATTTAAAATAAATCATTAATTTTTTAATTTTTTTTTATTTAACATTTCATGGGCTGTAACAATCCTCACAATAAAGACACTGAGTCTCTTATATATACCCAGTACTAGTATAGACCAGTGCAGGTTTACATCAGAAAGACCATTGTGATACTCCAGTTTTACCTGCCCTAACTTACATTTGCATATGGTATCGCCAGATATTTGTCAGATATATTGTCAATGTATTATATGTTTATAATATACAGAAGAAACCAGACCTGTAAGGGATTGATGTATGGTATAATGAAGTTTGATCTACTATATTATTATTTTGATGTTAGATATAATGTTCATCATTGGAAAAGAATATTGGAGGTGTATGATAGTGCAATATTGTTCCTATTGTAAAAGTAATGCTGTATCATGTAGGGAGAAGCAGATGTAGATTAAAACCAATGATATGTAAGATGGTGAAAGATTGTACATGTTTAGTGCACTGTATTAGTATAAAAATTTGATGAAAGACTTCTTGTAGGGTGGTAGTATAATGTATGCAGTATTTGTTGAAAATTAACCTTCAGTCTGCTATGGTAGCTGTTTAGCACCAAATTTGTATTGGTTATGGGTAAAGCAGCAGGAAGAAGGTACATGAAGAGTTTGAATGATGAACTCAAGAAAGCAAAATTAAGTTCTTACATGCACATGTATGTAATCTAAAGTGTATTCAAATGTAAGCATTAATGTAAGTCCATACTCTTGTCAATGAATGGCCACTACTTAACACTGACTGCTGAGTATTGTTGTAATAAATACAAATTTGATGCCTGATACATACATCTTATGTAGGCAGAAGGTTAAACATCTTTGAATCAAAGAGAGTTTATGTAGTATTTGGCAAAAGCTGTAGTTAACCTGTTGAAATGTAAAAAAAAAGGTGAGGAACTATTTCAATGTCTTCTCATATTAGTTGTAAGAAATTGTGTCTATAAAAAGATGTGCAGGTAGTTGTTGTGGGTAGAGGTAGATGGTGGTGTGCTGGTACTGATACAGTTTAGACAAGTACCAGTATATGCTTGTGAAAGTACAGTAATTATTGTACTGTAGTAATTTACATGCTGGTATGGTCTGTACAGCACTTTGGCAGAACGTACCGCGCCAGTGTGAAACCCCTAATGTATTGTGCACAGCATTTTGGCACAATGTCTCATATTTGAATACTGACATCACATCTATAGTGTTCAAATTTTGTGTAGGAAAAGATATAGTCTGCAACAGGTAAAATTCTGATGCAATGTTGACCAGACATCCACGGAAAACTATGAAAAATCTTTTTTTTGCACAAGTGCAGTACGTTCTTCCTATGTGCTGAGGGTACTCGGCCTACTGTTGTATTGTACAGTTAGCTGCAACTTACATAACATATCCTGTGTAGAACAGTACATTGTGGATGGAAATGGTGGTCATTTCTTATTAAGCACAGAAAGATGAGTTGTATTCATGTTTATCATATTTTGTGAAGACGACATCTTGTTACCAGTGACTCTACACAGGCAGTAAAATGTAGTGATTCTATGTGGACAGGAAAAAAAAGAATAAGAAGGCTTTAGGTTCCAACAGTGCATGCAAAAGATGAAGATTCCTGACTTGAAAATACTTCTTGTTTAGCCCAATCTTAGTTCATGTCCTGGCATGTTTTTTTTTATGTCTTGGGGTCATTCAACTTTGACATATTGCCCACAATTCATCACACTGTGCATGCGCAGTTGGAACTGTGAATCAGCTTATTGTCCACCATTCAAAGCAAACATGACCCGTGTAATCTGACTGTTGATGTGATGATGTGATGTATCCATGAAGTATACGAATACAGGAAAGATGTGACAATGTGCTGTTTGTTTGCTTTGTGATTTCCAGACTCAATGTGTCACTTGTGTATCCCTTTCAACAGAATCCCTCCAATGCTGGAAGGAAGGTCTTGCAGATTGTCGAAAGATCATTGGAAAGTATGGGAATGAGGACCCTGGGTCCTAGCATAAATAAGTGCTCCCCACTGTAGCTTTTCCAGCAGCTTGAATAGTGAATTGACCCTCATAACCGCATATACTCATAAAGATCGCAGACGGTCCAGCCACCAAAACAATAGCAGGAACAGATTAGCATAATAACTCAAATCTTTTTGAACAAATTCAAATATTTTTCTATACTGGTCCAGTACAATTTCAGGATGGCAAAACAAAAGAATAATATTCTGGATGAGGAAATCTGCCTGATATTGACATTGACTGCCATTTCTTAGCACACATTTTCATCATCATTTCATACTTTAAGTGTTTGAAAATGAAATAGCTCCAATACAAGCTACGTAAGGTACCACCAATAAATATCTAGAACCAGCCTACTATGCAAAACAAGCAACCATT